CGAGAGAAGAAATAATCAAGACGTTCGTGTTTCTCAACGATTTGAGTAATCGGAAATCTGTCACGTAGGCAATGTCGGATTGTTTTCACTCTCGATTATGAAAGTTACTATTTTCAACCGTCGGAAGCTACAACAAAGTCTTTCCAAATTCTTAACACACAATTTATCTACAACCAATTCTGTAACACCTTGACATATCAGAAATAAACCTAAAATAATTTCGTGCAGAAGATTCAATATAAGAGATTCTTTTAAATATCCAATAGACCAGCAATTTTATGCACAATTTTTTTTTAATTACACAAATTTTTGTATATTACTAGGAATAATTTCACATATTCTCTAAATTTATAAAAAATATTTATTTATTACCGTAAATTGGGCGAGTTTAAGTGACATCTTGATATATGTTTCAAAATATACTCTTTTCCTAGTGAAAAAAATCGAATCTTGGCTAGTAGACCTTCATATATCGAGACGGTTTTTTTTCAAGTGAGAGCGGTCATGCAATCCCGCGATATGGAATTCTCCGACTGACATTCTCCTACCAATCCTTAAAAACGTTTATCGAAAATCGTAACTGTTCATAAACAAATACTTTTTTTAACTAAAAAATCAAGCTATTGTCTTAATAAAAATCTTAATCCACGAGCTCACATTGATTATTTAGAAACGAAAGTCATTAATATATTTCCTTATTTTATGAATCTGCATGCTTAGCACATTCTCGTATATTTTTATTTAGTTTTTATAGTGTTCAGACAGATGAATCATCAATTTGAACATAAACCTTCCGAAAGCCCGTGTATAGGGAGGAGTTTTTTATTTTATTTCTGTCGAGACTACCGCGATAATTTCTTCATAAATATCAGAAAAGTAAATGCCATGTGTTCTGGTATCAATTGAAAAAAATTATAGAATTTTTCTTCAACATTAAAAAATAATATTTGCAGAAAATTGGTGAACTCAATTAGCACAAATAAAATTGTTTATAATTAGTTGTTGTGTTGAATACTATATTGCAATTGTAAGATGATGTGGAAGAATACCTTAGGCTATTTGGAATTGTTATTGCTGAGGATCCAGGTACGGATATTTGTGCTGAGACAGTCATGGCTGGATGATTGCTGTACATGGAATCTTTGGAATGTTCTGGCGTTGGTGGTGGAGTTAGGTCATGGTTATCACAATGTATTTGTATATCAATTGGTTTTGTTGGGGTCCCAATTGAGTTAACCCACTGCTGAATTGGTCCTCGGCGTTTCATCTTGCGAATTTTATTCACCCACTCAGCTACTCGCAAAAATGCCTCTTTACCTATATTTTCTTCGATATTCCCCCAAAATAAATAAACATTAAAAATTAAGGAATGAAATATCCAGAAACTGTCCCTGGAATTTTTTTTTAACTATTGATCATCAAGGAAATTATGCTTGTACCTGGATCCATTATCCTCGCGGCGTAAACAAATAAACATTTTTATAAAGAATTTAAAAATAAAAAAATTTGCAACCAGATAATAACAATAGTGACATACACAGCACGTAATTAAGTCTTCACTTTGCAATTATTTATAAATAGTGTATAGGATAAAAATTTTTAGTTAAAACCTTCATAACTGAAATTTTTTGGAATCATTTAGAATTCTTTTTAGATCACATATTCTCTGGTCGATTCTACGATGAAAAATAATTTTTGTAATTGAAAGTACACGTGAATGGTGATGACCATTAAACTTGGTGATTAATTTCAATGACACTTACTGTTTAGTTACTTCTATCTCGTTATTAATCAATTTGGTAGGTTTTGGTTGATTTGTCTGCCCAGTGGCATCGTCAGTAACCGAATGAAAAAATATCTTCAAGAATAGAAAAACATAACAAAGTATTTGTGTAGGAACCACACTAACGAAATTGTGCAATCAATTGGTAGATCAGCTGTGAATGAATCGTAGTTTGACACAGTTTTGTGCGACGTAGCGCCATCGCTGTCATTTACGTTTTCTACGAAAAACTCGTTAGTCTCGCATTCCCATGACTAACCTCATTCTAACTCCGTGAATATTGACAATATTGACATTATTAATTGCTCACAAAATTGATCCCAAATGTCGACTAAAAAGAAGAGTAAAGGGAAAATGCATGAGAGGAGGAAGCGACAAGTTGTGGGAAAAGAGGAAAGGTATCGGCAGCAGAGGGATATGTCTGATCAAGATGAAGAGGTTGAAGAAGGTGAGAGCAATATTTCAATGATGTTGAGAGGTCAATGGAAAAAAGTGATGACAGGGGTTTCTTTCTAGAGAAAGAGGAGTCACCAGTTTCTTTCCCAGTTGCCATGTGGGACCTTGAGCATTGTGATCCAAAAAAATGCTCTGGAAGAAAATTATCTAGGCATGGACTCAT